TTTATTACAAATGGTGACATGCTACAATAAAGGATGGAAGAGAAGGAGGTAGGGCAGTGTTTTTTACAAAATGGTGACATGCCACAATAAAGGATTTACAATATTATCCCTTATCATCCTACATCCTTTGAAATCTTCCTGGAAGTTTTAAGGGATTTTGTAAATGGAGGATGATATGGATTAGTTTATAAAGGGATCGATTCAGGCACAGTTGCTTTGACATTGATGATATAGGGCTTAGTGATGGTTCACCAATATCAACTGTAGATACCATGACTGGATAGGAATAAAGCTGGCAGAGACTATGTAAGCTATTGAGCGGTTGTTGACTGTTGTCTGGCTTGTAAGATGCATACTTTAATGTGGAACATTTTAAATCTAATGTTGACATTATTCAAATGAATTAAGGCTACGGATTAAGGGATGAGTCTTGTGAAAAGCATATGTTTTCATCAAACAGAAATGATTAAATACTGCGTTTCGTTCAAGTGTGAAACTGTAAGATTACTGTCAGCAGTGGAGGACTGTTTAACTAGCAGTCCCAAAAGGACAGAAATACTTGCCAAATGTTATGTTTATTTCAGTGTAAACCTGAATTCAAAGCAGGCCGTACTTTCATTTCCAACACACTCCTTCTATGGCAGGTTTTGGTATTTTGATGTTTAAATGTTATTAATCTTGTTTACAATCATCTTAACTAGAGTGATGGATAATATTAGTGTATATTCCCAAAGTTCCAATGGTTGATCCACAGAACAAGCAGCAGCAGATGATACGGGAGCATGAGGAACAGAAAGCAAAGATAGAGAGGGTATCCAAGCAGATAGCTCGTTATGCCAGAGAAGTAAGAACAGCAAAGAAGATCAAAGGAGAATCTCATGAAGAGGTAGGCTTCTCATTGTCATCACATAGGTTAGATTGCAATTCATTTTGGGTGGTGGAATATGTATAGCATCATGGGATTATACATTTTGTTGTTGAGGGACATTCTTTGACTTTTATCATGACCTTCCATTGCCATACCTGATTGTGGTATAGTTCATATTCTCATCGAGATGTGTGATCTGGTCAAACTCTTTACCTGTAATTATCAATACACACATTCAACGTCAATCCAAGGGTTGTCTTACCCTGACTCCATGGGCTTTGTGCGCATTCCTTCAATAGCCCCTGGTCGTGTTGACTACGAAAATGACGCTGACTGGCAATTCTGGATGAATATACATGAACGTAAGGTCGATCACATGCGTATTTGAAAAGCTGCACGCTGGTGCCCACGTATTCTCTTGCATGTCACACATGCGTAAATTTGCGCTGCATGTAAACACACTGACTAAAGTCCTAATTTAAATATCCCAAATAGTAGGATATTTAAATTATACAGTACCAGGTGTTAGATCCCGCAAGGCATGCTAGGAACCAACATGGCGCGGCAAGATCATATCTATGGGAATGAGGTTGGTTTTACTCTTACCCGCATAATGACGTGGGCATGGCATTTAAACTATAAAGATGGTATCACCTGGTATATATGTAATTTCCCGCTGCATGTTGTGAATGATGGAGTTAGTTGAGTCTATCACAAGATGTATCCACAAAAAGTAAAGTGTGTGGAAATGGTATTGTTGAACAGTGGTGGGTTTTTCTTTCTTTTAACAGAAAGATTTTGCCTTGCGGGAGCTGAGAGATTTCAACAAAAACATGAGCAAGCAGATTGGTGAGGTGATTCACAGTCATCCTGATGTTATTCCTACCACACATATGCTCTTCTCACAGGTGAGCCAGGCTTGGTTTCATGAGGCTTGATTTAATTGGAGATATTATGGAGCTTTGTTTTAGATGTGAGCATTCACAGGAACATTCTTCATGTTCAGTTCGCATACCTTGTGCATGTGCACATACCATGACCTATACTAGTTCCTTTGGTGAGATTGCATAGCACCCTCTATAGTCAGAGACTGAAATGGAGGGAAGAATCTTCCTCTTAACAATCACAATATGCACCTCTGTATGTCATATGATTCTGAAATGTAAGATGTAGTTGGATTCTTGCCATGTTGGCTTGTTTGGTGGTTGTTTCTGTTTTTACTTGTAGATTTCATACACACATACATCCTACCAGGTGATAAATCTTTAGTTGACTCTTGAGTGGCATTATCATACATGCAAAGCTGTAGCATTGGTCAAGACTTTAATCTCCTTTGGTGCTATTGTTCACATTTTTTGCAAAGAGCTCCCATAGGATTTGTTCATGGTTTTCCAATCATGGGCCCACACCCAGTCATGGATCCTATTGTCTTTGTTGTTCAAAGTTTGTGATTTGAATGTAGGTACGTACTGTCATGTTCCATGGTTGTGGGAACAACACAGTGCTCGCTTGTTGAAGAGTAAATGTCAAGAGGACCTGAAATAATACGGGGAGAAATTGTCGTCTTCACAACTTGGTTTCAACTTTTCTAACAAAGAAAATTGGCCTCTCCATGTAGTAATGACCTGAGTATATGTGCATGTAGTCTGTCTGCTACATGGGACATCATTTGAAAATTTGAAAAAAAGGAAGGAAAAGCTGCCTGTTTAATCCAGGCACAGAGCCTTGTGTCGCAAGCATGATGTGCATTCAACAAGTTAGAATTCCATACAGCAGGAGAATGCTAACTTCTATTACTATGACAGGCTGGATTGCCAGTGCCTCCTACACCAACTGGTAGTGCCAGGGGTTATTCTAGGCCTGGATCTGCATACAGTGCTAGGAGTAGTGCAAGCCTTGGATCACCCAAGTAAGTATATCATGAACTGTCTCACCAGGCTGTAACAAGTTCTGAATGTATTACTAATCATGACGCATGAATGCAGCAATATGGCTTCATGGTATGAAAATCAGTATTGTGGTACTTGTACATGGCTTTGAATGAGCATGACACAAGACAGACTCTTTGCCACCAGAAGTCATATATCATTTGTGAACAAATGTGGACGATTTAAAGAGTACCTCCAAAATTTAGAGTCAAGAACTCACAGCAGAGAAACTCTAGCACTTGAACAGATATAAGACAATAAGAACAACGCACATGTAAATATTGTGTGTACACACAGCTTGCAGCCTGTTTGTGAGTGAATATGGTAAAGTATGGTGCAGTTATCAGCAAGCAAGAATTCAGGGGGATATATGTTACAATTTGAAAACTTAAGATGGAATTAGTTTGATCTAAAAAAAGCTACAGGTACCTCCAAGCCAAAAGTTGAGTATCCAGTTGATTGGCTATATTGTCTGTCTATTGGTAAATAAACTATTTATAGAAACATTGTTGAAAACCTTATTCATGTGCAAATGCTGAAACTTGACATTTCCTGTGACAAGTGAAATTCTATTGTTGCCTTTATTTTGCTTCCGAAATACATCCAAGAAACTCACATAAAAAATCAACTATATCATCCTTGCACCATTAGTACTGCTGACCGTTTAAAGCCAATTCATGCTTGACTTGAAAACAAGCACAAATGCAAGATTGTGACATCAAATCAAATGTTCGTGTTGTGAATCGGCAAAGTCAAACACATTTCAACTCTCTTAAATTTCGCTGTAAGTATTACTTGACATCAAATTCATTTTGCTTTCATATGAAGCATGAACTTACCTTTAGCTTTTGAAATCCTTCAGCTTTTGGCCTTACCATACTAAAATGTTTCACACGTGAATGATCATTTGGCCTGACTATTACGTTTCTTTTCTTTTTTTTCAGGACACCATCCTCTGTCCGAAGTAGTGCATCCAGTCGTGCCAGCAGTAATGGAGCCATCCCAACAGTTGATCTGGGTGGTTTAGGTATCTCAGGCAGTGGGGCCAGAACACCCACATCAGCCCCCCGTTCACCCCTCCAATCACCCCAGCAGGGTACCCCAGGCAGGACAGGATCACGCCCACCCAGTGGAGCCAGCCAAACCAGTATGCGCAGTGGGCGGAGTAGCAAGCACTAGAGAGCATAAATGTGGACATGGGATGTATGGAACTGTTGGAACCGAAGGAGATGGTGAATTTCATGCCATCTGTGTGGAACAAAAATCAAAAGGACAGACTGGTGGAATCAAAGTGGGTGTCAACCATGGATACTCCATGTAATGACAGGAATTACCACAGTTGTTCTCAGCTCAACATCATGTCACAAAACAAACGCTGTAAAGAATTGTGTTACCATACAAAGAAAAATTGGCAATTTCCAGAATATTTTCATCATCCAAAATACTTCCATTGGAACACTTCCATTGAGTGAAAGGCTTGTTTTGCTATAAAGATGCCATTGTAAACTTTGATTGTACTTGTGTTGTAGTTTGTATGACCAAGTAAATTGGTCCAATTGTACATAGAGATGTACATCTTTTGATGTGGAATTTATGGATGTATAGTGCCATGGTACATCAATTCAGATACATGTACATATGAGCATGTGTTACACTGCACTGGTAGGGGAGTTCTTATGGCCCTTCCAATTCTAAATAAACGGCAGTAATGGGCTAAAGTCTTTTTTAACTGGCACAACATTTTCTGTGGACAGAATTTGCTTGTAACATGTTCATGAATTGTGAAACCAATAGCTCTCTAATCTACAATAAAATAATTGTGCTCACTGTTGGCGAGATTTGCTATGGTAGACTTGTTGTTTTCTTATTGTCCTCATTAGAAGTGTTTGTGAATACCTGAAGCTTAGGCATTACAGGTGTCCATCCATCTGGGACTGTGGGATCTCATTTATGGAGCTCATGTTATGCCAAGGTCTACGATGATTCAACTTTCATGTACCTTGCAGCTTAGGGTCCAGTGTTCACAGCCTTGAGTCTGTGATCTTTTCCAGAACAAACTACTTTCTCAGGTATGCTAGTTGCAGAATTTGAAGTTATAGCTATAAGATTCCCAATTCGGAAATAAGAAGCCAAAAATCTCTCAGAACCAACAGTATTAGTTATAACACCAGTGTGAGTGCAACACAATAATATAGAGCGTCTGTGTCCTGTATACCACTTGGCCTTTGACCTCATGGTATATGGAACACGGACACATTATATTATTGGTCAATGAGCATGATAGCAAATTTATCATCAAGCAGACATGACGCACAGTGTAGATTTTATAGGGGCCTTTGCGTGCAAATGCGACACCTTTGATTTTACTTAGAACAGCGTAATACACAGGTTTGACATGGGCTGTGCAACACACTTAAATGTCACACTGTTGCAATGGATCGACCAGTCACAATTGAGAATTCATGTTCGCCTGAAAATAATGTACTGATAGTAATGTTGACAACTAGGTTGCTACACACAAAACTGATCTGTAGTTGGAAGATGACTACAAGTAATCTGTGTGAAGTGATTCGTGGATTTATAATTTTTGATGGTAATAGAAGAATTGTAAATTTCATGAGCTTGAATTGGCACAGCCTGTAAAAATAGTCTGCAGAAGCACTTGCTTGAAACTGATATAACAGTTTTTTGTGCACATGTTCGTATATGGCTTTAGGTAAACTCATTTATATATTGAAGTGCCTTCAGATTTGGCCATGGTGGCAAGTAGTAGTTGATACTTCTAATGCCCATATACATGTAATCCATGGATTCTCATGAGCACAGTGCAAGTTATCTCAACAGGTTTATATGGATGGCCTCAAACATAAGATCCTAAGATGCCATCATTTCAGAAAGTCATACAATTAGTAACAATATCTGTGATTGTTTCACAAATGATAATCACACATTCCATTCAGAATTTCTCTTCACATTTCACTAGTTCTTAAGTGACTGCATCATAGACCTGCACACACTATACTATACTGATTACAAGCTTCCACTAGCTAAAATGCATCACTTTGTGCTGCTGTGCCGATCATTCCAATGCTACACCGTGTCAGCGAGCATCATTGAAGATGCTATGTCACAATTGTGCACTGGATAGTCTGCCTGCAGGAGGTCATGATTTTACTCAGCCTGAATGTTCCACCGGGTCAACAAATTTAATTTGAATCTGTTATCTTTGTAATGGTGTTGTGCCTTTGGCTACTGTTTGTTTAGGAAAAGGTCAACTCTGCCCCTCTCTTCTTCACCATTTGACAGGTCATGGGCATCACCAGGATTTGTGCAGCAAACTGTCTGACCTTTAACAGAAAGGAGGTCTATTCCTGGCTGTTTTCTAATAAATTGATGACTTTCATTTGCTTTTCTTGTTTCCATTTTTTCCCTTTCCAAGGGAAGCATCCCATTGTGCCCCAGGCTTCCATCGTGACACCCATGTGCACGTGAGAGGATGCTTGTATTGAAAAATGGCCTCTGCAAGTAATTGGCAAATAGTTTTTAAGTTACAAACTTGATTAACGTCAGCTGTGTTCCACCTTTAAATTGGTTTATCAGCATTCACTGATTCCATACTTCAGAAGGCATTCCATTATGGGTAAGCTATTAAATAATGACCGTGCAATAATTTGTCTGGTAATACACCCACTTTTTCAGGTTGAGTAAGAACCTGTGTTGTCATTGGATGAGACACTTTAATCAAGAGTTATTTGCATAAGAGGACAGTTACAATGTTGAAGGCAACCCCCCTCTAAGCACTAAGCCCCTGACCAAGATGCATAGTGCCCACAATCACTGTACAGGGACCATGTAGCAATGACGGTCCTTGACATTCAAGCAGTTTTTTTCCCTCGGTTTCCCTTTTTTGATAGATTGTGTGATTTAACATTTGACATCATATAAGGGAGTAAATATGTACTTGGCCGGTCTTAACCCCGTATTCAAGACTGGTTAAGGGGAATACACATGACTAAAGCCCGGGCCGCAGGTGAGGATATTATCAGTGTTCATTCTCCTGAGCCTGTCTTATATGTTAGTATATGCCCAGTCAAGCACATAGATATTCCCCTTCATCAATACCGTTTTAATCAGAGTCAAAAGAAGTCAATATATGATAGTTATGCAACAATTTTGTTCTAGAATTTTACTTTTGGTTTCTTGGACACCCCTGTCCATTTTATGATATATTCCTTCTGTCAGTTGTCCAGAAGAATCTTCTTATATAGACTTGGTGTGCGTGGCGAGTTCTTCATGCCGTGTTGCATGCAGACTCTTGACCAATAGGGATGAATTAAACTGTCTCGTATCCAGGTGCCAAAGCATTTTTATGCAGCGGGCATTATCAAATGTTAACACATGGTCACATTGCGCATTGCTAAATAGGGAAACTTTTGAGGTATTTATTCATAATTGTTTATTTTCAGACTAAAGTTTTGCTGCTAAGTTTTCGTATCTGATACATCTGAGTGTTTATTGTTATGTGTTAATTGTTTTTATATTTTTCACTCTGAGGCTATTTTTTAAGTCTCAAATGGCTATAGGAACACTAAAGAATTATGATGTTATTATCTACAGACAACGAAAAAGAACTTTTAATACCCCAAGATGCAAAGACTGTGATCTAATGTGTAATAATTCCAAAGAAAGTAAAGTGTACATTCCCTCCCCTTAATAGGAAAATAAGCTTGTTACAATTCTACAGAAGTGGAGTACATATAAATGGTCTATCATGAAAGTCTGCTTGAAGTCAAAGCCCATAAATGCAGAACTTCCTGTTCAAATTTAAAGAACTTACATCGGTTATTTTTGTTGGAGTAAGTGCAGGATACCTTCATCAATTCAGAGAAGACTAATGCCTTAATTTCACCTTTGACTTAATAAAGCTTAACAAATTTATAAGAATACAATTAATTTCCCAACATTCCTTGATAATGGAACTTTCACGTCTTTACTTTTTGTTGATAAGGCAAAATGTACACATCCTGCTGCCTCAGTGAAGACATATCTGATTTTACAGACTAACATAAGCCATCACCTACAAATAAAACTGATGGTTCCTCTCTTACAGATCTACTTTTTGGTTACCTCAGAGGAATTTGTTCCATGATAGACTTTTTGTTTGGGACGAACAAAATGTAGCAACACCATATGTTTGGCGCTACGTATTTCCGATTCAGTAAAGTGTTTTGTTTGCATGGATTTTAGCAACCTGATTCTGAACAAACACAATTTGTCTCCTGTGTTTGACTTGTCCACATGTAACTGCGGATGAAATTGCTGACTAAATCTCCACCTTACTGTTGACTCTTCAAATTGTCTTAGATTGAAAGGCTTCTGCCACAGTCTATTTTACGTGCAGAATTTGCAAGAGTCCAGATTGTTCCTTTTCTTTCATCATGTCAGTAGTCATTATATTTGTACAATGCTGTTTGGCATATTTGGTTCCAAAATTTGTCCCAGTTTCCGTTCCCTTAAATGCAAATGTGCAAATTGAAAGAAACAAGTCAAAGTATTCAACTGAAATTTGGTCAACTGGTGTCTCACTGACAAAGAAGGGATGGGAGTTTATTAAACTGCATTAAACAGACTGGATTTTTGGAGGGGCCTGGGGCTGCCTCCTGAAGAGGTTCAAGAGGATAGGAAGATAGGAATCTGAATCACCTTAAAGTAGTGGAAAAGATTGGAAATTGGGCCATGAGCATGGTTTGTCATGAAAGTATTTATCTTGCTCTAACAGCTGTTCTGAATATCCAAGCCCACCCCTGACATTTATTAGCCATCTTCTTCATCTTTCAGGTTTTGTTCAACTTACCATGAGGCTCTCATCACCTTGGCCGCACTTCTATTTTGAGCCATGGCCGACAATTCGGCCATTCAGCACTCCAAGAAAAGCCATGTATCATATCACGGCTCTGACATTTAGTGGGTAGTTGTAATTTCTCAAGAACTGAATGCCCCTAGAGAACAGACCCATTCACAATCCCAGTTCCTGCAGTGTTCCTTCTGACGGGATCAAACAAAGCCCAACAAAACAAATGAAAGGATATAGGGTTTACCTTGAATAATGGTCTCGTTTCCGACAATTCAGCCGTTTGTCTTGGGAAGATAAAAAGACTGCAACAGAACCACGGTGTAGATGGTGCCTGACAGAGGAACAGTCTCATAGAACAAGAACAATGTTAAGATCGCAGTCTTGCCATTTGATACGAATAATCGTGTCGGTTTGTAGACTCTACTTTTTCAAAAGGACTCTGCCCTATTTACTAGAATGCAGTGCTATTAAGTTTGCCTGACATAAAAAACTGGGATGCAATGGATGTCACATTTTGAACAATAGACGAGACTGATGAGTATTTGCAATTGTTTGCAGAGAATATGATAGGAAGGTACTGGTGAAGTGAACAGGATTTGGTTAGGGAATGGATATTTCTTCAAATTCTGTGCTGTCAGTTACAAAATTACTGCATATTAATTACCAATGTTCTTTTCTCAGAATTCTTTTTCTTCTGAAACCACATTGGTTGGAGTGGTGGAGGTTGAATTTCCACAATAAAAGTAATGGACAATCTCTTTTTCATTAATTTTGTAGTTTCCCACAGTCATCAAAGTTTGTTGCAGTTTTTTTTTCATGAGAGTCAAATACTGTTGCATTGGGAATCCAATCATATGGGCAAATATTTTTAAAATTTTTAAAAACACGAGAATGAGAAGTGAACATAATGTTGGGGGTATGTGCTTGGACGGAACATTAGCAGGTCTTTCATAATTTTTTGAGTAGTTCAGTGGGACCAAAAGT